GTTGGGCTGCTAACTGCAAGGTCAGTGGTTTGAAACCACCAGACACACCTTGGGGTAAAAGATGGGGCTTTCTACTCCCACTGAGAGTTGCAGACTCAGAAACTCACAGGGGCAGCTCTACCGGGTCTCGTAGGGCTGCTATGAACCAGCATCGACTCGATGGCATGAGTGTGTTTTTTTAAATACAGATGGACTAGATATGGTAGAAGCATACTACTCGGATGCATAATTTTAGCTTTCTTTTTTCTCAAAAAAAAAAAAAGGTTTTATTGGGGGCTCCCACACATATTATAACATCCCTTATATCAAACAGACCTGGACAGTTGTTGGTCTCGACAATTTCTAAACTTCTTGAGCCCTTTGATATCAGCTTCTCTTTTTTCTCCCTCCATCCCCCACCCTGCCACTCCCATGAGCCCTTAATATATCATCTATTGTTATGATTATTTATACATATCTCACACTGCCCGTTCTATCCCGTCACCTACTGTCCTGGTATTCGTCCCCCTGGGGGGGGGTTATGCTGCTGTCACCGCTGTCCGTTTCCCCTTCCTCCCCCTTCCCTACCCTTCTCCTCCTGGAACTGCTACTCCCGTTACTGATCCTGAGGCGGTTTGTCTTTCCTGAATTCTGTATACTGAGAGCTCTCATGAGTGCCACCATCTGTACGCTGGTCTAGCGGACTTTGCAAGGTAGGACTGAGACCATAACAGTGGGGGAGGAAGGATGGAAGAACCAGTGGAGTGCTGTGTGGTTCGTCAGCGCTCAGCTGCCCCCTGGATGCGTTTCCTCCTCTGCCTGATGCACACACATTGTTATCCCTAATGAGCGAGAATCTGTGCCCGGAGAATATTGACGAGCGCATCAATGTCACCCTGGAGGGGAGCCATTTAAGCGGTGACTTAGATGGACAGATTTGCTTGGCCTGTCTTGGGTGAAACAAAGCTAGAAGGGTTGCTCATAGGATAGAAGGCAGACTCAAGACCCCCATGAGTGCGACAGACTCGGGCAGTTCTGAGGGCAAACACGGCGCTTGCAGAGAGGCTCCATGGGACGGGCAGTCGGCCGGGGAGACCAGGCCAGTGGCCATCATAATGGCCAGGATAGAGGGTGACCATAGCGCACGATGAGCCGGAAGTAGAGGCCATTGGTACCGGGTCAGTGTAGTTTTGAAGATTTGACAAGGCTGGAGAAGAAAGAGGGAGCGCCCATCTACACCCCTGAGAGTGGGATTGGGAGCAATCCCTGGTGGGTCACCTGGTCGACGAGCTCAGCGGCAAGCCAGGAGACTGGAGCTTGGAGTCCACTCCCAGGTGCCTCAGAAGAAAGGTGAGAAGCCAGCCCTGAAGCACACACAGGGTCACCGTGACTCAGAACCGTCCCAACAGCTTTTTTTTAAAAGGAAAAAGAAATGGAAATTTCCAGGACGCAGTTTTAAGTTGAATACCCCCAAACAAACTCACTGCCATCGAGTGGATGCCAACTCATAGTGACCCTATAGGACAGGGTAGAACTGTCCCTGTGGGTTTCTGAGATCGTAACTCTTTACAGGAGTAGAAAGCCTGGTCTTTCTCCTGCAGAGCAGCTGATGGTTTCAAACCATTGACCTAGTGGTTAGAAGCCCATGTGTAACCACTACGCCAACAGGGCTCCCTAAGTAATTTGTTTTTCTAGTAGTTCCAATGGCAAAGTAGGCCATTTCCCAAACTTTGAGGGTAATCAACATGTGCTAGAAACCAACATGTTCAGACCAAGCCCAATGATGCATACAGCAGACCAACATAAAGAAGGGGGCGGGGAAGGGACAAGGGAAAAATAAGGTGTTGGGGGGAGACGAAGGCATTGGGGGCACTAATCCACCATGGGGAGGGTACTGTTTCTGTGTCCACAGGAAAGGAGAGAGGGACCAGACCTCAACCTGGTGCGTCAAGCCTTGAGGACAACATACCGGCATGAAGCAGTAAACTAAGAGGTCTGCTGGGCTGGCCCCTGTCCCAGTTATGTGACCCCCCTCCCCAAAAGGATGCCCTACAGAGGACAGCACTGAAGATACAGCCTGGGGAGAGAGGCAGGTCTGCCCGGTCCACATGGGAGCAAACTAAGAGGGAAAGAGAGAGAGAGTGGACAGCATCCTGGCCCACCACGCTTCAGGGACGACATTCCTGTTCGGAGCAGCCAATGCACAGAGAGGACTTTAGGGATGACTTCACCATAAGACATGGCGTCCCCTTACTGACCCCCAGCGCTACGGGGGCAGCACCAAGACACAGTGTGGGAATTGTATCCGGTCTGACACCCCCATACCAGGGTGTAACACAAAGGGAGTGCAACAGAGCAGCAAGGGGAGCAAAACAATAAGGTCCCCGAGGCGTCTGAAAACAGACTTCAGACTCGGGGGGCAGGACTGGGCGCTGCATCAGACCTGATCAGAAAACATCCATAAGGGTCAGCAGACAGGCCTGGAACTCTTCATCGGCTATTTCCTTCCTTTTTTTTTTAATGTGTATCTATAAGATAAGCAGGATAAACAACCCCAAGGAGAAAACAACGGGACTGATGGTTCTGGGGGGATGGGAGAGGAGGAAGTGGGGGGAAAGGGATTGGGGAGCCAGTAAACCCAGGGACAAGGGAACAACCAGAGATCTAAAATCGATGGTGAGGAGGGCATAGATGCCTGCTGGAGTCCCATCAAGTGCAATGTAGCTGAGAGGAATTACTGAGAGCCTAATGAAGGTCAAACATGATAGTGGGACAGGAGGCAAGTAGAAGGAAATAGAGGAAAGAACTAGGAGGCAAAAGATATTTATAGAGATATAAGTATAGGCATGTGCATATGTAAATAATATATAATAATAGGGGTATAGGTCTATGCACATATATTTATAGGTTAAGAATTAAGGTAGCAGACAGACATTGGGCCTCTACTCAAGTCCTCCCTCAACACAAGAAAACTTTGTTCTAATAACCTGACATTCTGTGATGCTCACCTTCCTGACACGATCACTGAAGACAAAAGTGGGTGCATAAGCAAGTGTGGTGAAGAAAGCTGATGATGCCTGGCTATTACAAGATACAGCGTCTGGGGTCTTAAAGGCTTGAAGATACACAAGGTGCCATCTAGCTGAGAAGCAGCAAAGTCCACATGGAAGAAGTGCACCAGCCTGTGTGATCACGAGGTGTCAACGGGATCAGGTAACAGGTATCAGAAGAACCAGAACAAACAACCATTTCGATGCCAATGAGAGGGGTTGGAGTGAAGACCCAAAGCCCATCTGTAGACAATGGGACATCCCCTCACAGAAGGGTCACAAAGGGACTAGCCAGCCAGGGTGCAGTATAGTACCAGCAAAACACACAACATTCCTCTAGTTCTTCACTGCTTCCCCCTCTCCCCCACTATCAAGAACCCAGTTCTACCTTACAAATCCGGCTAGACCAGAGCATGTAACTGGTACAGATAAGAGCTCTCAACGCACAGAATCCAGGACAGATAATCCCCCTCCCAGGACCAATAATGAGAGCAGCAATACCATGAGGGTACAGTGAAGGTGGGGGGGGGGAAAAGGGGGAGAAAGGGGGAACCAATCGCAATAATCGATATACACCCACCACTCCAGGGGGATGAACAACAGAAACATGGGTGAAGGGAGACAGTGGATGGTATAAAATATGAAAATAAAAAGATAATTTATAAATTATCAAGGGTTCATGAGGGTAGGGGAGGGAGGGAAAAAAGAGCAGCTGTTACCAAGGGCTCACGTAGAAAGAAAATGTTGATGGCAACCTGTGTACAAATGTGCATGATACATTGGGTGTAAGGATTGTGATAAGAGCTTTAAGAGCCCCCAGTAAAATGATTTATTAAAATTACAAAAAGAATTGATCCATTAAAAAGAAAAAAGAAAGTGTCCTTTTCCTGTGGGCTTCATTTGAGAGCGCAGCTTTTTAAAAACGTGAATTTGTTATTAATCTCTTCAAGAATGTGGAAGTCCAAGCAGTGTGTGAGCACAGCCCCACAGAAACAAGCAGACAAACACCAGGCATCCACATGGCCCACTCAGCACCAAAGTAACCAAAAGGGTGCCCCATTAAGCAGGGGCGCTGGGCCCTTGAACAGCCCTACCCAACTGGACACCAGTTCTCCGGCCTCCGATCCGTCCCAATCTCACCGCATGCCCACGCCTGCCACATAACAAGGCCTCTGCTCTCGGGCTCACACCTGGCAGCCCCATGTGGCCAGGCCACAGTCAGAGCGCTAGAACCAGACCCTTGCTGCCCAGCCCGGCCCGTGAGCCTCTGCTAATTCTTAGGACTGCAGCTTCCACGAACCAGACTGGTGCCACAAACTGCCCAGACAACAAAGGTGTTTGGACTACTCCACTCTCCCTGAGAACCCAGAGAGAGCCGAGATGGAGGAGCCAGGCCACGACCCCACTCCATCTATGGCAGGGCTGTGGCACAGCACGGATTAGAAGTAGGTGTGGTTCTCTGCACAGACGGCGGGGCCCCTCGGTGCTGCCAAGCTTGGGAAGAGAGGCGCACGCCCAGCCCACTCTCTCACATCCATCGAAACAAGAAGCCTGGGCAAACACGCCGGCCACCAATCCCATCCAAGTGCAGCAGCACTGCAGTAGCTTGGGGACGACACACGACCGCAATGCACACAGGGAAACAAGACAGAGTGGCGCCAACAAGCGACCAAACACAGAGCCAAAACGGCGCTGGAACGACCCAATAAAAAGGCAAGCTTCACTTCCACGAGCTCAGACCCGCTGGCCCTTGGCCACCAGCAGCCGGGCCTGTCCCGTACTCACGTGCTTCTCGTGGAAACGGTCCACTTCTTCCAGAAGCTTCTCCTGGCAGGCAGGGTGGGTGGCCAGGAGGTAGGTGGCAAAGGAGAGGGTGTTGGTGACAATCTCGTAGCCGGCGATGAGGAAGAGGAAAGCCTGGCCCACGATCTCATCCATGGTCAGGGGCTTCGACAGCACCTGGGGTGCGTGCAGCCCGGGAGGAGGCGCCAGGCACGCGGTCGAGGGGAAGACTTGCCCGACGACATCGAAGTCCTCCACCTCCACGGAGTTCCCAGCGCTGCGCGTGTCCAGGATCAGCTGGAGGAAGTCTTTCCTCCTCTGCGGAACAAGCGGGAACAGGGCGCCGTGAGCACAGAGCCCGCATGGGTGCAGCTCTCTAAGAGCGAGGCTGTCTGCGACGGTGCGAGCCCGGTGCCTGCTGGACAGCCCATCACCAAGCCGTGGGCCGAACCATTCAGATGGAGCCTGGCACTGCACTAGGAAGGCCTGCCGCTGTCAGGACAAGCCAGGGCTGTGTGGGCTGACTTGGAAAGTCACCGAGCTGCTCGGCGGCTGCGGTTGAGACTCACAGCCGCCCCCGTGCACCACGGGCTTGGCCCACTGCGGCCCACGGGGTTTTCGTTGCCTGCCTTTTGGAAGTAGATCCCCGGGCCTTCCTTCCTCGTCTGAGTCCGGATGCCCCACGGAAACACACAGCCTCTACCGATAGAGGAGTGACGGTGCACGTGAGATGTGCCGGAATTGCACCGGGGCCTCCCACGTGGGAGGCTAGGATTCTACCCCTGAGCCAACACAGTGCCACTTACATTGGGGAAAAACAAAAAAAGGCTGCAGAGCAGTACAGAGAGTTGTTGTTAAAGTGCCATCAGGTTGGTTCTGACCCATGGAGACCTTATGCCCAACAGAATGAAACCCTGCTCGGTCCTGTGCCAGCCTCACAACCGTTCCTGTGCCTGAGCCCATTGTGGCAGCCACTGCGCCCTCCATCTCTTTGTCACGGCCCCTCCACTTTACCAAGCTATGCTGTCTCTCTCCAGACACTGGTCTCTCCTGACAGCATGTCCAAAGTAGGTGAGATGAAGACGTCTTGGGGAGGGAGGGGCTAAAGGGAGCTGATATCAAGAAGAAAGTTCAAGAAGAAAGACTGTTTTGAAACTGATTGTGGTAGCAATTGTACACTGCTGCTTGATGTGATTGAACTAGGCTCGTTAGGATAGCTGTAAGAGCTCCTAATAAAATGATTAAAAATTTTTTTTAAAAAAGAAGACATTTTGCCATCCTTGCCTCTAAGGAGCACTCTGGTCTTACTTCTTCCAAGACAGATTTGTTTGTCTTTCTAGCAGTCCACGGCAAGTTCAATATTCTTCTCTAGCACCACCGTGAAAATGCATCAACTCGTCAGGCTTCCTTATTCAATGTCCAGCATTCACATCCAGCCGAGGCCATTGAAAGTCTCATGGCCTGGGACAGGTGCGCTCAGTCCTCAAGAGGAGATCCTTGCATTTCACCCCTCTAAGATATACAGTAGGATCTTCATGTATTAAAGATCACAGGAGCATTTAATATGAATAAACCCCAATATTTGTTTGTCTACACAGAGAGAAAACGAAATGAGACAAAAAGAAAAACCAAGGTGCCGGGGGCTGCCGGGGGCTAACTGCTGAGCGGCTAGCCACAAGGTCAGCCATTGGGAAGGAAGAAGAGGCAGCTTTCAGGTCAGGTCAAGGTTTAAAGTCGGGGAACCCACAGGGGATGCTCTGCACTGTCCTGCAGGATCGCTGTGGGTCTGGGAGCTTTTTTCAAATGCATAGAGAATGCTTAGCAGGATCCGCCCCCCAGAGACCACCTGGGGAGAGTGACCTGGAAAGGCCCCATAGCGGAGGCGGGCGGGAGCCTTTGTTCCACTGCACTGTCGGGTGGAGACCTCCAGGATGCGAACAGTTAACTCACTTCATGTCCTTGAGGGCCGCCTCCTGACCACTCCACGGAAGACAGTCCGCCCCCCACCACGCATGGGGGCTGGGGGCGGGGGCGGGGGATCTGTGAGTCGGGCTGCATAG